CTACCTACCTATATATCTTCCACCCACCCACCCACCCACCCACCCACCCACCCACCCACCCACCCACCCATCCATCCATCCATCCATCCATCCATCCATCCATCCATCCATCCGTGATAGGGTCTCTATGCAGCCTCAGTTTTCTTGGAACTTACTATGTAGACCAGTCTGAACTTGAACTCATAGAGATCCACCTGCCTCTGCCTCCTCAGTGCTAGGATTAAAGGCATGAGCCACACACCCGCTTAGTTTCTTTGGGTTTGATATAGAAGCAACCAATAAAGAGAAAGACCCTGAAATGAAAGGCAGGTCTTGGCCCTTTACTGTTTTTGTTTGTTTGTTTGTTTTGTTTTGTTTTCCCAGCTCTGACCCAGAGCTCAAAGTTTACCCCAGGTGGTAGGAATAGTGACCAGGAAGGGAAAGAGTGCCATCACCAAGTCCCAAAGCATCTTGTCCCTCAGGTCAGATGTCCCATGACTTAGTCCCAGATTTTCATATGGAATGTAAAAGGAGAGAATCACTCTGAGAATGCAGAAGGTTGATTCACATTTTAGGCTAAGGAGCAAGGCTTCACCCTGGAGTAATTTTCCATTACAGTTTCAGCCACCAAGCAAGACAGAAACAATTGATTTTGTGAAGAAGCCTTAGGGAAAACCAAGTCTTTGCCATTGTTCTAGGACACATGCCATTTTTGCCTCAAGCAACAGTCCTAGGAATAGTGACTCCAAGTCTATCTTGACTCTACCGTTAATATTGTCAGGTTATGGGCTTTTTTTCCCTGTGCAACTATGTTGACCTGAACTTTCCAGTATATTTTCTTCTAGAAGAAGTCTATAGTTTTGTTGTTAAGCAGTACTGACTAAATACCAAGGAAAAACACCACTGAGATTTTAGAAGTCTAATCCTGATGACATTGTGACATTCTTTTTCTATGTTGTATCAAATGAAATGGAAAATAAAGAGATTTTATTTTGTTAAGCAAGGCATGCGATGTCCAGAAAGGATTTTTGCTAAATTTCTGCTTTTTTCTATTGACAAAAATTGTCAGTGAGAATTCAGACCCAGTATAACTGGGTCACATCCTGAAACACCCATTGTGAGTTGAGAAATCTTAAGTCAAAAGTGAGTGTGCATTATACTGTGATTTTTGTAGGGACAGTGACTGACTGCCACAGCATCATGGGAGAGGATTAAACTGCAAACTGCAAGCCTGGAACAGAATGAGATCCAAAATTCAAAGTCCAGGTCCTACTGGAAATGCATGGCTTCCTCAGAGCCACAAAGCTGAAAAACTGCAGTGCGAAATATTGTGTGTTGGGGGACCATCTATGATCCTGTTTGTTGGTGAAGGTGGTTTTTGATTATAGCTGGAAAGGCCTCCTTGAACTCAAGAAGCCCATGAACCTAATCCATGCTTTACCTGACCCTTGGAAGTGTGGTCAGTATAGTCAGGTCAGATCAAGGCCACTGCCTTCATCTCCACCATGAAGGCATCAAGATCTCCTCTGCCAACAGGAAAAGCCAGTCTTGGAAGTGATAGGAAGATAAGGAAACTTCCCTACGAGGGAGGCACCAATCAAGACTAGCTTCCTTGTCTTATGTGTTTTTTGCTTTTTTTTGTATTTATTTATTTATTTATTTATTTATTTATTTTGCTTTTTTGCTAAAGTACCAAATGTGGTTGATAAGAATACAAAACTACCTATGGCACCCTAAGTGATGCTTTTGTCTAGCCTCTCAATTCATGTTCTTTTGTCTTTAATATTGGTTTTAGTTTAGTTTTTCATTGTCGGCCATTGGTCTATATGTGTCCTATATAAGTAGTCATCGGCCTTTGTTTTACCCATGGCTTCATTCATGACGCATTCCCACTAATTCTATTTGGAAAACACTCAGGCATGTAAGCAAGGACCCCACACCAAGCATGTCACCTTCAGGGTCATGCCATATAGTCAAGCATCTTACATGAGAAACACTTGGGAATCGCCTTTGCCATCACACATGTGGACACCTTCATACAAAGATTATTCTTGACTGAGAAAAAGAAAAAGGTTGCAGTTGGTTTGTGCACATTTTACTTCTACTCAATCACAGTAGAACTAAGCTTTAGTACCATCATATAATCAGAACACGGAACAGCCATTCTCCATACCTAGGATGTAGCAGTGGCTTAGATGATAATTGTTGAAGACACACCATGATGTGCATCTATATTCAAAAAGGAAGACCACATCACCCTCTCTGTTAGGAACCTACTGTCTCTTTAAGAACAAAATGCAAAGGGATTCAGAACCTATCAGGCATCCTGGCTGGGCCTTGGTGGGAACTTTGGGCGGGTTGCATATTGGATGTCCATGGGAACCAACTACCTTTTCAAAGAGCAGGTTGGAATAAAGATGACAACATTAAAATGACAAATTCACACATAAAGGAAAAGCCTCATAGCAGAAAGTTTCAACCCTCTAAATTCAAATTACCTACCCATGTCAATCCAGTTGAAGGCTTGAGAATTTGGAAGCCCATCTATTAGAAAGTTGGTTTGAGTTGATTTTTTTCTACTTATGAATAGCTAAAAGACCTTGTCTGTTCAGGATTGGGAGGGGATGGGTTGGGGCAGCAAGCATTCTACTTAGGAAGCCAGTTCCCAGAAGTGAGGTATTAAGGTCGTCCAGCATAGGTCTCTTGCTTATCTAGGGTACTGTGTGTGCCTACCCTGGACTCTCCACTCAGGAGCCTTTATGAGCAGACCAGGGAGAGTTCAGGCTGGGGTCAGCCCTTCATGCAGGACCTGGCAAAATTCCTGCATTTGATGTTGGTTTATCTCTCTGTATGGTGTTTCTCTTTGATATTCACCCTGAAGGATGATAAGACATTCCTCCCATCATCTTTCCTCAGAGCTGGGCACAGATGAAAGTTACCTTCATATCAACAAGATAAGCAAATCCACTTGACTGGGGTCACCTAGATGCCACATGACCTGGGACCTTCACAGAAATTCTCTGCTGAGTCTCATTCAAATATATGTGTTCACCTTCAGCCAGAAGTGTCTTTTCTCTACTCTGGCTGCTGTTTACCTTTAAATCAGCTTGTATACCTGATCTATATGCAAGTCCTGGCATGGTGCCCCACCTCGATTGTGACCAACGTGGTGACTGTTACTGTGATGTCTGATATTGAAATGTGCCCTGGGTGGGGGGGGGCAGTATGCAGTTGACCCAGCGTCAGTATTCTGTGTTTATGCAGTCTAGAACATCAAATCCTATGCAGTCAAAAATTACTCACATGCAAATGAACATTTCACACAATTTTTTAGTAAACCAAACCCACATTGATGTGATCTTATGCTCACAGACTCCAGTGGCAAAGACTTAAAAATCACAACAAGACAAAAATCTTGGCTTGTGCTTTAAAATTAAAGTATGGCATTTAGCAGCTAGCTGCTCAGAAGTGACGAGGCAGATGAAGCCAATGTTTGCTTGCCTTCCTCTGAAGGTTTGTTAGGGGGAGGGGGTCTGTACTCCAGCAACTAGAACTAAGCATATTAAGCTAAAAGTCCTGGTGAGACAGTTACCCCAAAGGAGTTCCCAGTGTGATTGTCCTTCTTTGGGAGACTCACTTCCATAGCCACAGGAGCTCACACTCCTGGGGGTGAACACACAGATGCAGCCCAGCACTGGGTAGATAGAGAAGGGAGGGTGGGAGGGTGAAGCATCTTCCTGGGCCTAAATGAATGCTTTTGTCCTAACCTGGACTACTTGGCATGCGAGCTGCTATGTCCCACATGGTAGGGGATCTCAAAGGTTGTAGTGTTCTACTGAACTGACCAATGGGGAGGGGTGGGTGTGGCTGTGCTCAACATATCTAATACAGAAAGACTCACTCTGATTACTGAAGGATAGTGTGACCTTCCATTTAAAGGAAGCTTCTATTTATTATTGCTGCTGTTGTTAGTGTGTATGTGTGGGTGGGTGCACGATCACACACTTGCATGCATGAGTGAGCACCTGCTTTCAGGAGTCACTTCCCTCCTTCTCCTATGTGGACTGAACTCCTGCTATAGGTTTGGCAGCAAGTGCCTTTACCTGCTGAACCATCTTAATGATTCTAAATATGGTTTCTAAATGCTTACATTTACCAAAAATCAATACTAAATAGTGACCCCTTGCCAACTGTGGAGGTTTTATTTCCTACTGCAATAACTACATGAAGCAAATCCAGGGTGGCCAGAGATGAAACATCAGATACATTGAAGCAAACAGAAGAAATCAGCTAAGTTTTACAGCTGTGCCATCCACCAGACTTTCTATGACAACAAAGATACTCTTTAATTGTCTGGTTGAGACCCACCATCCCTGCTGGCATCTGGGAACCTGAAATGTGGCATAATTTTTAAGTTAGCTTAATCTCAGCCAATTATGTTTAAAATTTGGGTAGACTTGAGTGTCCAGTGCATGTTCTACTGAAAAATTCAGTTCCAGCAGGCACATCCTCCCCGATGAACTCACTCTAGTGGTAGCTCATTCCATTTCTCTCTGGAACAATGTGATGCACATATATTCTAACATTCATTTAGTGTGTGTGTGTGTGTGTGTGTTATGCACATGTATGTGCATGTACACGTGCCATAGTGTGTATGTAGAAGTCATATGTCACCTTGTGGGAGTTGGTTCTCTGTTTCCACCATGTGAGTTCTGAGGATTGAACTCAAGTCATTTTCAAGCTTTGTAGCAAGTGCCTTTACCACCAGAGCATCTCTTTGGCCCTGACATTTTGTTTTTAATTTTAATTTTGCATTTGCAGTTATCTATAGGATTATTTCCATAAGGTCCTGAATAGTGTGTCCTTTTCATACTTTCCAAATGGCATGTTCCTACAGACCAAGCTGTCTATCCACCTGGAAAGACATGTGTAGACTGTGCCTTATCCTATGGGCTGTTCTGTGAGACAGGGACTTGAGCCATGTTTCTGTAACCACCACAGCCCTTGGGTCCAGCACTCACCTGTCCCCCGGGAATGGCTGAAGTCACCCTTCACCACACGGCAGGTCTTGCCATCCCCGCTGCAGACACCACACCTGTCTTCTTTGGCTGCAGACCCAATGATGCCATCACAGCCAATTTTCTAGAAAAACAAAAGAGCTGGATTTGTCTGTGTTTTAAGATTTGGTGCTATTTTGAAACAGATACCCTGCTGGACTTGAGGGACTGATTTAGCTGAGAGGCATTTTAATTGTCATTAAATTCAGAAGAGAAAAACAAACAAACAAACAAACAAAAAAAAAACCCCAACAACCAGAATTCATATCAGATGATTGTCTTTTTATCTGTTTATGAATTTTTCAAATATGTTTAAAAACACATATTATGGACTAGAGGAGCCTTGCTACCCTAAGCACCTACGCATCTACATGTCTCCGAGAAGCGGGGACTACTCAACTCTGTTTCATCACAGCACAAATGTCAGGGTGGTGATGCAGGTAGTGGAGTGTGGTCACACCATGCTGCTGCCTTACTTCTTACTCTTCGAAGTTGCTCAGTGGAACCTGACAAAGAGCCAAGAGGTGGAGCATCCCAGATTATAGCGTTCACTCAGAGCAGGAAGCTCAGCCAATTTCTCATTGCTAAAATAATATGTGAGGTTCTGCACCCACTTCTGAGTCTGTTACTATATCCAGGTTGTTGGTGGCACAGTTAGAAGCCAGCACCAGAACTGGCTCCTCACCCCAGCCTCTCTGTATCACCTGGATCTGCTTCCTTTTGTCTTTCCCTATTTCTGTCATGTGCTCCTGGCTCTAGGTCTTTCTTACACCGGGTCCCTGTGATTTCTAAACCACTCCCAGGCAGCCACAGCAAGTCTCTGGCTTCACTGCTGGTTGCTAGCCTTGCAATTCACTGGGTTCCTGATTAAGCAGCTCCAGATGGTCTATGTAAGCATCCCATGTGGTCACCATAGCTTGTCCCAATGGCAGTGAAGGGAGGTTTGTACATCAGTAGTGAACAGGTGCAAGTCTGTTTCTCGGGCTGGGGCAGGCCTCCATATTGTGCCCATGCAGCCTGGTGCCACGCTTGTCAGCTCTTGCATTTAGAAGCCAGGCCTACAAGGACATCCATGTCAGGACAGCAGCTGGTCAGGGTACTGTTCTGCTGGAGAAGTGACGGTGTGTGACAAATGAAGGACAGGGGTCCCTCGTAGCATAACCGAAAACACAAGATGGCATGGAACTGGCAAGCTAAGCATAGATTCTCTCTGGTCGAGACAGTGCCTGTGACACATGCAAACTGAAGTCAGAAGAGACCTAGTCCAGGGCCACGTGCTGGAGGGGACCAAGGCAGGCCATGTGAAGGGGCCATATTTTATCCAGGAATGATAGGGTAAGTATTGGTCTCTACTGATTTGAACCCTGGCTTCTATGCCTAGAATTTTTGCCCTGTCGCCCTCAGCAAAAAGCCTCCTTTCATCACACCTAATGGCCAAGGCTTCGTCTTCCCCCTCTTTGACCTTCTCTGTAGCATTTGTCACAGTGAACCACCCCCCACTCTCTTCAGTTTGTACATGCTTGTCTTTCTGTATTCACTGGGGATTGGTTATAGAGCCCTTCGAACATGGCAAGACCCAGGGATTCTGGAGTCTCTTACAGACCATCTCAGGTTGTCTTCCCCACTGGTTACTGACTGTCACCTTGATTGGCATGAGAAGTGTCTAGGATACTAGTAAATCAAGCCTAATGGTTTATCTTCAGGGATGTTTCCAGGGAGGACTAACTAAGGGAGGAGACCCAGGGCATCCCAAGGCAGAGGGTCCAGGTAGAATAAAGAAGGAAAAAGAAAAACGTCTGGCCCAGACATTCTCTCTAGAGACTGGTTTGGACTGCTCTGCTCTGCCCAGCTTTGTTTGCCACGGTGGCCTAAAGCCTCAGAAACTGAGCTAAAGTAAATACTTCCTCTCTTGTGGTAGATATTTCAGGTATTTGGTCACAGCATTGCTAAAGTTGAACACACCTTCCTTCTCCAAATGCACCCAGCACCTCCTAGACGGTCTTGCAACCCCCCCCCCAGCCCCTCAGCAAGGTGAGCTTCCATAACAGTCTCTTCTACTCAGGCTCCACCATAACCAACTTCGGGACTGAGACTGTTTCGCTCCTCTCTCAAGGTCCCTATAACACTTGGAGTAAACCTAAACTCTCCCTGGGTCTGATTCCCCAGGGGTTAGGCTTGCCTCCCACATTTCACTACCCTGTGTTTTAACTCCTAGACTGAGACAGCCTCACTGTTCTTGCCTCTGCTGGGAGATCTCAGCCCTTAGCTCTACCAGGGTTCTCCAAAACTATCTTCTCTAGACAGAAGAATCACCCTGTTGAGTCCTTCTCAGTCAGACCACCCTCACTGGCTTTTTCTAGGGCAGTATTTTATGTTTTCTTGGTCGTTTTTCTTTGGGATTATCTTGGGGCTTAAAAATATATTTTTATTAATTCTCAAGGTATTTCATATAATACATTTTGTTCATTCTCACCCCTCACTCCCCTCAGATCTACCCCTATATCCCTATTCCCTCTCAATTTCCCATCCATTTTCTTCCCTTAAACACATACCCCATGGAGTCAAACTTTTGCTGTCTATATACTCATGGGTATGGTGGCATCCATTGGAGCATGCCCACATCCTTAGGGAAAAGTGATTCTCCATCCCCCAGTAACCATCAATGGCCAATAACTCCTCAGTTAGTTGTGGGGGCCTCATGAATCCCTCCTATCTCCATGCTATAATGCTCACTGTCTTGATCTTATGCGGGTCTTAAACAGACAACCACGGCTACTCCAGTTTGAGTGCAGTAGTCCTGTCTTGTCCAGAAGACACTGATATACAACAATCTTCCCCAATATTTGACTCTTATAATCTTTCTGCAATATTTGCTGAACCTTCAGGGGGTGATATGGACATCCCATTTGTGGCTAAGAACTCTACAGGCACTTACTCTTTGCCCTTTGATCAGATGTGAGTTTCTGTATTAACCACATTCCACTGTACAAAGAACAGTTTCTGATGAGAATCCAGCACCACACTAATCTATGGACACAGGGACATGAATATAGAAGGACGTATGATACTCTCTTCTTTTAGCAGAATAATAGTAGCAAGTCCATCTCTGAGACCTGTGAGTTTCCCAGTCACAGGCTTTTAGCCAGATTTGTAGTACCAAGTATGTATTTTCTTCTATGGAGTACAGCTTAAATCCAACCAGAAAGTGGCTGGTTACTCCCATAATATTCATGCCACTGTTGTATCTATGGGCCTTTCTTCCCATGCTGGTCATTATTGTACACAGGGTTCACATCTGGACAAGGATCTGAGAGATCCATTGTCACAGTACATGGAACATTCTCAGCTGAAAAGTTTGAGGTTAAATCCAATTCCAGGGACATGCCCATTGGCACAGACCACAGGGAGCTGAAGTTGTGTTCAGCATGAACACAGGCCTCATTGGATGCAGAATCTCAGGATTCTTAGAAGTACATTCTTGCTGGCAAGAATACCAAAGCAGATGCCTACAAGAGGCTGGGGTGGCTCAGCTGGCACTGCCCTAAAGGGTACAGGAGCTTTGACTTCTAAAGCTGCTAGCAACAGAATGACATCATTGGTTTGCAATGTGCCAACTTGTAGGATGATCCAGGCAAGCATGTAATTGAGAAGGAAACAAACCCTGCATTTGGCCTGCTAGCAGGCTTCCTGAGAACTGTCAGCAATGCTTTGTTTCAGTAATAATGATAAGGGCTTTCTTCACACTGTCCAAGAACAGGGCCTGGAACATTCTTTGCTATACAAAAGTATCCCTGAAGGTCCTGCTCAAGCACTCCTTAGTACCCTTCTCCTTGGAAGGTGTCCTTGCCAAAATGTGTGGGTACTTAGCATATTTCTGTTTGATAACAAAGCCAGGCAATGCCAGAGGAGTTAGGGCCTTGTTAAATGTTTACTTGAAAAATTAACCAGTCTGTGACTGGCTTGGACTATGCATGGAGAACACCCACTTAGGTTGAAACTGTTTGCTGCAGGAACCCGCTGAGACATTGATTGTGCATCTGTGTCTGCCTCCAACAGCTGTTGATGGGCTCACTTGATAGGGATACAGTGAAAGCACAGAGTGACAGTGGCTGAGGTAGGAGGCTCCCTGGGTATAGTGTATCCCCCAATTCCTATCACCCCCAAGGGATGCTTTTCCCAAAGGCCCTGAAGGCAGAACCCTCATGGATGGGATTAGTATCATCTAAAGGAAGTCTCAGAGAGTAGTCTCCGTCATGTGAGGATAGAACAAAAAACCATCCATGAGGAGTGTACCCTTACCAGAAGCTAAATGCTGAGACCCTGGGCTTCTATGCCTCCAGAACTGTGGGAAATAGTTCTATTGTTTATAACCATCCTGTGTACTTAACCACAGATGCTTGAGCAGAGTCAGTCACTGGGACTCTTTACATGCTCAGGCTGAGCTGAGTCATCAGGAGATGACCCTGCAGGCAGAGGTTGCTTCAGCTGAACTGTATGTATCCCACTGGCCATTGACAAGCCATTGCATCTCCACCCTCCCTTCTTGAGTCACCACCCAGGAGATGCTCCTGTGGATGAGTAGAGGTTGACAAGAGGCCAACAAAGCACTTCTTTCTTCCTTACTCCTTGCTTTGCCTACTTGTCAGTCTCCTAACAAATCATGAGTTGGGGATCCATATCCCAGAGGGTGGAGGGCTCCCCAGAGGCCAGGCACACCCACCTCCCTGGACACTGTCTGCATAGGTGCTTGCTTAGTGCCATTATGTGCAGAAGTAAGTTTGTGGACTCCTCCAGCCCTATCTCACACTCACTGGCTCTTTGTATGAATCATGATGTCTGGAGGACTCTTCAAACAGTTTCAGGAGGCTGCTGCTTAAGCCTACCACTGGCATGATTTCAGTCACTGCCCGAGGGCAGGGAATGCTTTGGCTGCCACTGGCCACAGGGGACAGCATGGACCTCTTTGAGATAACCTACTCCCCCTGACCCTCAAAGGCCTCACAGCTCCACCACAGGCCCAATTTGGGAAAAGAGGGGATGTTTCTTCACAGCCCCACCAGGAACAGTAGGAAACGCAAGTCACCTGGCATCTGCCATACACGCAGAGGTCAGTCTCGTAGGGTCCGCAGGGCGTGCCATCCAGGACCCTGTCAGCCACCAGCAGCGGGGACTCCTTTCCAAAGGGTGAGCAGTAGAGTTCACATGGCTTATCTGAGGAGGGAAAGGGTGGTGCCTGTTGATTGGGAGGTGGCATGGAGGGGATGTGGGGAGCAAGCACATGTGAGCAATGAACCCAAGTGCAGGTAAAGGTCACAGTCACTTAGCTCTGTTCTTAGGTAGAACCACCTGCCCCTGTGCATGTTTGAAATAGCACACAGAACAAGATGCCCTGCCTCAGTAAGTGGCTGCTGAGGTGATGGGAAAGTAGGGGAGGGTGAGCAGGAATGTCCCAGGGAAGGGGAAACAGGCATCGCGGTCTCTGTGACAGTGGTTTCCCTAAGATTGTTAGTTAGATGTTTCCATCGAAAAAGTCTTAGTGTTCCATTTCCTACTTGCCCCAGCTGCTAGGCAGTGACTGCAGAGCTGTGATATGAGGCCTGAAGGTCCTGGAAGAATGGGACACAGAGCTCACAGTGACAACTCACGAGAGCCACACCAGAAGCTAGATAAAAGCCCCTGTTCCCTCTGCCTGCGAAGCAGTCTTTCTACTTGGCTCTTTCCGAGGCTGCTATCAATGTAGAAGATTCCAAACCAGAGCTCTCTCTCCTGCTACCCTGACACAGGATAAGACAGGCACTTGGCGTATACATCCATTCAAGCCCAGGTCATTGCCTGGTGCCCCAGACTTGTTTGAGCAAATCCTAGATATAAAGGGAGTTTTTATAGGCAGGTTCCATTGATAATGAAATACTAAAGACCCCAAGTTCCAAAAAACTTCAAATTCTGAAACCTGAACTCTCACATGACATTACAAATGGAAAATTCCATACCTGTCCTCATGTGATAGGAGTAGTTAAAATATAGGTACACTAAATACAAAATGTAAGATTATGTTTATGCTATATACATAACATGTATAAGCCATAAATAAAATTATGTTTTGATTTGTGTCCCATCACAGAGATAGCTCATTGTGTATATGCAAATACTGCTTGGAGGAAGGGTTTTCAGTTTGTACCTTTACACTGAAGTATAAGAACCATTACAGGGCAGGGGGCATGCATCCGTCTTCTGTACCCAGACCAGAGCTAGAACTGCAGTTCATAGGATTTAGTAAATCCTGAATGGATCATGTCTCTGTAAGTGATTGAGCAAGAGTAACACACCTTCATGCCTCCTCTGCCACTGAACCCTACTCCATTTATGGAATTATTTTGAAAGGAAACCTTGAGAGAGCCACAGAGACCTTACACTACCTTGCCGGGCTCTTTGCCTCCACCAGCCTTCCCCAGGGAGTCTTTTTTTGGTGGTCTCTGACAATCAAGGGAGGAGTACAAAATGGTGTGGCAACTGATACGGCATTGGAGGGTCTTGGCATCCCATTGGAGAGGACTCGTTAGCAGACACGCTGTCTTACCCAGTCTCAAGGATTTGCATGATTACATGACAGCCCATTACCAAGCTGCTCTGTGAGAAGTCACCTGAGAGTATGAGGAAGAAGCCCCCGGGACTCAGATTCTATCTATTGGAAGTGAAACAACCAACTTTGAAGAGTAGCTATCAAGTATGGCTGGAGCATCACACCGCAAGCACTCTATGGGCAGCGCTTTTTTAGCGATGAGAAACACATGCCTCTCCAGGGCCTCTTGGTCTGATTGATGGGCAGGTGTGGAGTAACCCTTGCATGAGGCAGGTCACATGACACAAGTCTAACGTGAGCACACCGGGAGCAGTGCCTGTTCTAGAAGGAATCCCTTTGCTTTCTGGTAGGCAGTTGAAGTGGCTATCCCTTTTTAGAGTAAATGACCCAAGAAAGTAGTCAGTGATAGAAGAACTATGAAAGACAGAGATGGAGACTGAGGTCAGTGTCTAGAAAGCTTATTGGATGGGATTAATGGGAGGCTATGAGGGGTTTGAGGTTCCCTGTGAGCGCCTTAGGGATATAGCACAGCTCTGCAGTCTGAATGGATAGGGTGTCTCCTGTACACCCATGGCACATTTTGTGCCCTCTCTAGGTCCCATTGTGAAGCAGCAGCTTGAACTATGGGTCTTTATTCCCTTTGGACTAACACGTTGATTTGACCCTGGGGGTAACGAGGTTTAAGGAGATTCATTCGATAGCAGTAATGGCAATGTGATAAAGAAGAAATCATAGGCATTTCTGATCTACATGCCAAACAACATGCTAAGTAGTGTTGACAGCACTGATCACAGTATATGTTGCCACTGTTCCATTGTACAGATGAGCATGGTGCTCATAGAGCACCTACATTTTCTGCAGCAGGGCCAGCCACACGCCTCTCTGTTCCATCTTTGTGTTCTTTCCACCATTACTGTTTACTCTGAATGAGGAACCCTGGGGGCAGGGGAGGGGGAGGCAAATACCAAGGGATAAAATGGTACTGCTGAAAGCAAACCATAATGTTCATGACTATTTATGGTTTTGGCTCCTATGTGTATGCTCTGATTTGAAAAGAAAAGGGAATGGGATTTGAGCAAACAGCAGAAGCTGTTCTGAGGGAAGCTAGAGGCTGTGGAAAGTTCCAGCATGGAAAGGGATAAAAGTTGTTTGTATTGGCTCTTTGGTGCAAATTTCAGAGGCACACAGGCTCCGAATCAGGGGGAGGTAATTCGGATGGCCAGGTGTTGGCTGTGGTCTTAGGCAAGGCATTCTACTGAGCTCTTCGTGCTCTTGACTCTGCCATGTGCAGAGGCTCAGGCAGCCAAGAACCCCAGGGCTCTAGAACAGAGGTCAGAGTTAGCCGGTGCTTCATTGGATAGAACTCCCTGCATCTGTCCATCCCCCCCCCCCGCAGGATTACACTCAGAATGTAGGGTGTCCTTACTTCTAGCAAGGAATAGTTATTTATTCCAAAGGGATTAAGGATAGTCTTTTTTAAAATCATGAGAAAAGGGCTCAAAATTCCTCAAAACTCTCAGAATAGTCCCCTCTAGGTTCCTATGAGTGGGAAGTTAAATCTCCAGGATAAAAGATCCATTAACTAGCATGAGGTGGTAGGTTTCAACTCCAAGCACAGTGTGAGAATGTTTGTTTTGTTGTTGTTGTTTATTGTTTTGATGTTGTTTGTTTACTATGTAGACATGGCTCTCCTGGAACTATGTAGACCAGGCTGGCCCCAACACAGAAATCCACTTGCCTCTGTCTCCTGAATGCTGGGATTAAAGTGTATGTGCCACTATAATCCCTAGGAATATAGATGGGGATAGAAATCTTTAAAGTTGCACAGCCACACACAACAAGAAAAGAAGCCTAGAACACATCTCCTGCGTGGATGGTGTGTACTTAGATGAATTCTGGCAAAGAATGGTGTGTAGTGAGATGAAGTCTGGCTGAAGCATCTGTCTGGCTTCTCAGAGGCCTGTCTGTTGGTAAGGGCTTCTCACTGATCAGAGGAAGCCACAGCCAGAGCAAGATGGGCTCTGAGGCTTGAGAGCTGATGATTACATCAACTTACAGAGGCCTAGAATTCCTCCTAAGCTCAACTGGGAACATGGGACACTGTGGCTCACTTACTGCTCTCTCTTGGACTCAGTCGCAAAGTCTTACTGGGGCAGAGTCGACCTGGTGTGAAGGCCAGATGAGTCCTCATCCTAGCTCCCTCCTGCCTTCTGTCTTGGCTGCTCAATCTTCTCTCCCACAAGCTGTCCACCAGGACTTCATAACCAGGTACTAGGTTCCAGGCTCTAGCTGATTAGGTCAATAGAACCCACTTGGCCATAAACAGACCAATCAGAGTCTTTCTTCCCCACAAGCCACACCCTATAGACAGATCTCAGTTAACTGGAACGGCACTCACCATGTGACCACAGCCAGAATGACCAGTCTTTTTCCTGATAACATTGGAACTCGATGATATAGGGAGATCATGTCTCATGGCTGGTAGACACAGAGAAGCCTCGGCTATCTTACTATACTTCAGAATTATTATAATTCAGAAATATGAAAAGCTCAGAAAATGAGTGTTTTCTCGTATGTGTGACAAACTATCTGGCTACAAAACCAGCCTTCCCTGACAAGAGTGAGTACCCATCTCATTAGGGCAGACTGTCATGTATCCCCTTGGGTCCCAGTGGAGGTGTTAATATGTGGCTGCTGAACCATCATGGTTGTTCAAATACTCAAGGCTCTGAATTCTGAGCCATCACTGACCTCAGAGGATTCAAAGTTGGGATACAGACTTACTTAAAGGAGTTGTGGGTCTCCCTGGTTGGCTGTATGTGAAGAAATTTTGATAAAGGTGGGCTACAGTAGGAGCAGGTTTCCCAATGGTAAGTTCTGGAAGCCATAGAAGACTCTAATATCTTTAGAAATCTTGGTTCCAGCTCCTTGTTGGATCCTTCAAGAATACCCTGCACCTTTGCCACAATGAGCCTTCATTTCTGGGCTGCTTGGTTGAGTAGGAGTCACAGCTCTGACCCTCACATCCCACACTCCCTCAGACTAGGGGTGGGGTGAGTGAGTCTGCCATGTGAGGCAAAGGACCTGGGAAAAGGCCACTTTGTCCAGACACAGCTTTCTAACACTTCAGTGGGCATGGAGCCTGCTGTTGGCCTGGTCACACAGATCTGAACCCTTGAATGCAGAAACAGTCTGCTTTGGCAAGCGGCCACCTCAGAGGGTTTCTGTCTGAAGGCTTTTCCTCTTTGGGGTCTTTGCTTAGGAGAGTCTTTGTCTTCCTTTGGACATAGGATGGACTTGTGATCCGGAGTCCTCCTTTGGAAAGTCTACCTCTGCAAGGATTCTTTTTAAAAGAATGGAGAGAGGAGAGAAAATACTGCTTTCTCTTTACTGAACTGTGTGTCACTCGCCAAAGAATTCTGCAATGATAGCAGTGCTGTGAATGGGGTGGTTATAATGGACCTTGAGGAGCCAGAGCCCAACCACAGGGGTCGATGCTCTCATGGCTCAGCTAGAATTAGTGTGCCTTTTAGAAAGCAGGGCTTCAGAGGAGCACTTATCATCAGCCATCTGAATCAGCCATTTATTATTTCGCTGTTGCCCTTTCGAAACACTTTTAAAAAATGCTGGCTTCTGTTTATACTGAGGGAAAGGGAACCACATACGTAAGAAGTCATGGTAATTTCACCCTAGAGGACAATGGGTCAAACTATTCTCACAAAGCCCTGAACCCACAGCCTTTCCTTCAAAGGCTAAACACCACCAGTCTATAGGCTATCCTTATCAACTATGGCTGGCCTTTTCGAGTCAAAGGTAGCACCCACCAGATCTAATTGTTACATGGGCAGAATGGAACAAGAGACAAATGGGGAAAAATGCATTCTAGACCCATCCAAGTCTTAAAGGAGCCTCTCCATGAGCGGAGGCTGCTATTCAGGAGCTGTTAGCAGTAAATAGAAGTTTAGGATGGATTGCTCAAGTGAGACTTCTGCCTTACATACACGAAGCCAAAGGAGTTAGAAGGGAAGCAATCAAGCAACAAGTAACTCCACACAGAGCTGAGCAGAAGCGGAAAAGAGTGTGTCTCTTCACTAATACCTTCTGGCTCTCGGAAAGGGAGAGCATCACAGGTGTCAAACCGTTCCTAACTAGCTTTCTGGAGACAAGGAGGGCTGGCTAACAGGGTGGATCTTGTCAGGGTGTGCTGCTGGACTGGACCATGGCAGCTCTCTCTGGGAATGTCTCGGTCCCAGTCAGGGGTCTGAATATGCCTGAGATAGGTGGAACCCTGTGTAGGCTGTTCATGAACCACATGAAGGGTCCCTCCGACAGCACCCTTTTATTTGGGAGAGGGAAGTCTCCTGTCTTCTCTCTCTTCAGGGAGAGGTGGGGGCGAGAAAGCTGAGCACCTCCAGAATTCTGCTGTCTAAGTGGCAGTACAGCCATAAGGACCCAGCCCCCAAAGGTGGTATCTTTTTGAGTACAAGGAAAATGTCTGGGGAATGAACTTTCTATTACCTTAAAAGTCCCCAGCTAAGCAGGTGCCACCAAAAACACCATGTGCTATTTAACAAAGCAGCTCAAAACTGAGGGCTCAGCTTATTGGGCTAAAAGATACAGATCTGAGCCAGGCGGTGGTGGCATACATCTTTAATCTTAGCATTTGGGAGGCAGAGGCAGGCAGATCTCTGTAGTTCAAAGCCATTCTGGTCTACAGAGAAATTCCAGGATAGCCAGAGAAACCTTACCTTGAAAAACCAAATAAATAATTAAATAAAATTAATTAAAAGAAAGAAGGGAGGAAAGAGAGAGAGAGAGAGAGAGAGAGAGAGAGAGAGAGAGAGAGAGAGAGAGAGAGAGACGTAAATCTGAAGCTGCTGTTGCCAGGGGTATCTCAGTTTCTCCAAAACCAGTCAGGGGCATTTGAACTTGTAATTGCAGGTGCCAAAGTAGGAATTTTACAGGGAAGAAAACCAAGATGGTACCAGAATTTATTTGTCTGTAAGCCATTTGGAGGCTAAAGAAATCAGACCCAGATGCATTAGTTCTAAGCGACCATCATTGTGTCTGAGTTCCTGCTTCCTGGCAGAGTATCTGAGTATGGAGAGCCAGTAAGTTATAGTCAACTGTGTTAGCTGCAGGAGCTTAGATGTCACATAGACTGTCACCTCTCATCCTCTGGAGCTTCTTTTGCATACCCAAAGAGACTGTGAATGTGGAGCCAACTTGTGCCTGGTTTGGGGTATGACTGATAAACGGGACCAGATTTTCAGCATTATAATACGAAGTCATGTTTCTCAAAGGGAATGTGTTTTAGGCAAAAAAAAAAAAAAAAAAAAAAAAAAAAAAAACCAACACTCTGGACTAGGCCTTAATGTGTCCTTGATGGTATGTCCTTCTGTATGCTGTGAATGTAAGTTTCTCTTATTGGTTGGTGAATAAATGCTGATTGGCCAGTAGCCAGGCAGGTACCTCAGAACTCAAAGCAATGGAAAACAGATACCAGCACAGTTGCCCTGCTGCAAATGAACCTAGCCTACTGTTTGCCTTTATGGCCTGTGTGGGGAGATCTCAAGTTATTAGCATTCAGTTCTACTATTGCAGGAGTAGGGTCATGGCTAACTTGGGCTGAGGACAGGCCTGTTCTTAGATGGGATATGATGGGAATTGAGGGTTATGAGCATCCCCAAGTGAGCTATAACAGTTCTTTGGAAAAGGAAGAGGAAGGCTACATTGAAAGGGAGGGCCTTTACCATCAACCACCACTGCTGTCAGCAGGCCCCTCTTCTTGCTGCTCAGTCGGTCATGGGCTTGGCACTGCTGGTCCCGGAAGCTGGGCACACCCTTGGGGCAGGGCAGGTTCTCACAGGCAGCATGTTCTACGCTAGCACCCTGGCAGTGTGTGCCTCCAGGTCCAGGCCTAGAAGGAGGAAGATCTGTGTTAGCCACTGGTCTGTGGAAACAGGGGTGGTGGGAGGGGGAGGGGGTGTTGAGGGACACACAGAGGGATGGAACTGGACTGTCGCCAGGGAGGGTGAGCAAGGTTTCCAGAGGAACTGGGTCTCTCCTATGGAAGATACTTGGGTAACTCCAGAGGCATGCCGCAGAGGTGAACCGCAGAAAATGCATTCAAGGACTGTAAGTGATAGTCATCAGTCATCTGGAAACAGGATACAATGAGTTTCAGTTTGGCAAGACCCACAGGTTGTATCTTCCATCTGAATTAAAGACTTGGTCATGTGTAACCTTGAACATCCCAAAGGAAATTTTGGTACTTAAAAGCAAATTTCATTAAAATGAAGACATTAAAAACAAAAAAAAAACAAAACAAAACAAAACAAAAAAACCTGATATGTACTAGAAGTTGCCCATTTTTAGGAGGAAGGAATAAATAGTTCTCATTTACTTTATAATAAGTGGGGTGATTAATTCACTCTCACACAATCAGTCCCTGGACACTGGCCAGTTAAGTTCCAGCTCTGCCACTTTGGTCAGGGAAAGCATGAGGTCAGTATCTAGACTGACTGTGTGGTAAGCAGTTCTAGAGAAGGGGCTATGCTCACTGGCAGAGTCCACACATCTAAGGTACATCAAGACAGAATGGCAGGATGCTGGCCACAATGAGACTTCACTTAGCTTCTGTCAAAGGCCCCAAGGTATCCTTGAGAGACTCTGACCTACATAAGCTCAAAGCTTCCATATCTCTCTATGGTAAGAAGCTCCACTGTACTAAGGTCATGGTGATACAGTGTGATGACTTGCTTTTTATTAAAAATTCAGCATAAAAGACAAAACTTGCACTGTGGGTATTTACACACACACTCACATGCCTGTTACTTGCATTTTGTATTCACAAACCAAGTATGGGAGGGCTCATTTTCCTCCCTCTGCCATTCCTCATGTCCATAGGCTACCCTCTCAGCATCGTTTTGGAAGAAAGATGGAAGGATAGAGGGTGGAATAGGTCTTTATAAAAGTCTACCCCAGAGATCAACAAACCTTTTCAATGAAGGGCCAGAGAACAAGTAGTTTTGAGCCACACAACCACTATTGGTACACAAGCAGCCACGGGTAATGTGAAGTAATGGGTGCAGTTATGTTGATAAAACTTCATAAAAATGCGGTGAAGCAGATGAGTTCACTGCTCATAGTTTGCAAGATGTCTTAGGAACAACAAGAAGGAAGGCCCCTTGCGGGTCCCTGTCAGCTTCATAAGCACTAAATAGTTCCTTACAGCAGTGGAGAGAAGGTTGGGAAAATTATACAAACTGATGGCCCTTCAAGGGGCCATGAGTTAGATTCAAGTGAAGAAATGGCCATTCCTTTAAAGTGTGTGGTGAACTTAGATAGACACAACTTCATACCATGTCCCCAAGGACTGTGGGGTCAGGTACCAAGTATGCACAGAATGGATTTCTGTATCACAAAGCAACTATAGAAGGAACAGAGAGGGACTTGGCTCCAAAAGCCAAGAGAGACTTGAGAGAGACTTTCAAGGTAACAGGTAAGTTCTCACTGTGGATCAAGAAAGGATGCATGATGTAGCATTTTTCTGGCAAGCTGTTCCAAGTGAAATCATGTCAACCTCTCCTTAATTTGTATGTTAAAATTCTATCCTGCCCCAATGCCCCAGAATGGTCACCTTACTGGGAAATGGGGTCATTGCAGATGCCATTAATCAAGATGAGGTCACTACAGTGGAATACAGGTGAAGGTTACTGCTGCTGATGACCTACGTTTGATTCCTAGAACCCACATGGTAGAAGCAAGAGACCGGACTCCTGCAAGTTATCCTCTGACCTCAGCACTGGTACCCTTACACATGCACACAAGCATACACTAAATAAATATGAAACATTACAAAGATTTTTAATAGACAGCTGTACACAGAAAACTCTATGAGAGAGGGGAAGCAGAGATCTTGGTAAAGCTTCTGCTCCCCAAGGGACACCAGATATTGCCATCAAGTCACCAGAAGCTAGGAGAGGGGGACCAATTGTGCTGACTCCTTGATCTTAGACTTCTAGCTTTGCAAACTATGAGAAAAAGATAATCTGTTGTTTAAGATCTGCATGAGTGTGTTGTGCTACCCCTAGCAGGGTCTCATTGAGGCGTCACAAGCACCAGGGGAAGTAAGACAGCTCCTAGATGCTAAATCCTGAAAGTAGCAGCCCACTACATCTCATGTGTGCTCAAGCTGCCTCTCTCCAGAAAATGCTGCAGAAATCTGTCTCTATCTAGACAGCTAAAACTGTCATCAGTAACTGTTTTGAAATGTGGGAGTGTATGTAGATTCCTGGCAGGTAAGCTATAGTTCACTTTGGTCCACTTTATGCTTTAGTAGGATGGAAGCTAATATTCATCTTCCATCCCAAGCACTATGAGAGATAGTCAAGATCCTGAAGGAATCAGGGTGTAAGAAAAGTTAGATATTCAGCCTCAGGAGTGCTGACTGCTGTTTCTGACCACTGGGGTATAGACACAAACTGACTTTACTAAAGACCCTGACAGGTGACATGGCTTCTAGGGACTTTCAAAGATCTACTTCCCTACTCCTTACCACAATTTTCCCATGCTAAATGCCAATCAATTTCCAGGACAGTCAGGGCTACCTGGAGAGAACCTGTCTCTAAATAAATAAATATGCAAAATGAATGAATGGATGGAATGCATGCATGACAGACAATTTTGCATTAAGTCTTTTAAAAACAGGAGTTAGAAGGCTATGAGGCATGACCAAGAAAAGATACAGGGCCAGAAAGACCTGCAAAGTCTTAAACTTTTACTTCAGATTGATACCTGGCATGGAGATACCATTCGGTAAACAAAACAAAGGCATCCAAGAGGGCAAACCTGAAGCTACCACCGACTTAAATGTCCAGTTTTCAGCAAAACATCACACAGCACAAAAGAAAAGTATATATCATGTTAAGGAACCAAACAGACCCATCCATGATGAAGCCTGGGTATTAGACATGACAGACAACTGCTTTAAAACAACTGTCATCAAGATGCATAAGAGTGAAAGGAAAACACAGAGGCAGGGATATGGTGCATGAAGAGGAGACAGAATTATTCAAAAGAAACAAAAATAATATTCAGAGCTGAAAAGCACAATAACCAGATGAGTTCAGAGCAGATTTTAGTAGATGGAAAAAAGAAGCCATAAACTTGAAAAGACTTTTCTGTGTTCCGTGTTAGAACATGCAGACCAAGAGCAAACTGGGGAGAAAGGAGGTTTTTATATCTTACAGGGCACATTCCATCACTGAGGGAAGTCAGGGCAGGATCTCAAGGCAGGAACCCTGAGGTGGGAACTAAGGTAGAGACAGCATTGCAAGGCTGCTTACCGGCTTACTCAGCTTGCTTTCTTACACAACCCAGGACCACTTGCCCAGGGATGGCATCACCTGCAATGAGCTGGGCCCTCCCAGATCAACCATTAATCAAGAAAATTCCCCACAGACTTGCCCACAGACACAGACACAGCCCCTCAGCTGAAGTTTCCTCTTCCAGGTGACTCTAGCAAGTGTCAAGTTGACAAAAATCACAAAGTGTGGAATAATGTGTTTGTACACTGTGAAGATGTGTCACTCTGATTGGTTTAATAAAAAGCTGTATAGCCAATAGCTAGGCAGGATTTTCAGGGACACTGGGAAGAATAAAGAGTTACCAGTTAGACACAGAGGAAGGAGGATGGATAAAATGGAGAAGAGGTAACAAGCACATGGAAGAATATAGATTTTAAAAATATGGGTTAATTTAAGTTATAAGAGCTACTTAGAAAAAGCCTAAGTGAAGGCCGAGCTTTCATTATTTATAACAAGTCTCCATGTCATTTTTTTGGGAGCTAGACACCCAAAGAAAAATACATCTACAATTAAGTATAAAAAAGCACAATAAAAAGACTGAAAAAAAGAACAGAAAATACCCACTAAACACCACTCAGTGTACACCTTATACAAGTTTCAGAAGGAGAAGAGAAAGGGGTAAAGAAATAAAAGGAACAAATAATGGCTGAAAACTTCTGGAATTTGAAGAAAAATACAAAGCTATCAGTAGCCCAGCAAACACCAAGTGGGGCAAACACACAGGGACCCACACTGGGATATATTATAACTAAACTATCAAAGTATGAAGGGAATCTTGGAAGCACCAAGAAAATAAGGCAGGCCACATACAAGGCATCTTTAAGATGACTGTTGGTGGATTTCCCACAGGAAGCCTTGGTAGATAAAACAGTAAGCCAATATAGTCCAAATGCTCAGAAAACAAAACTATTAGTTAAGAATTCTGCATCAACAAACATCCCTTCAAAGATGAGGAGAAAAGCAAAACATTTCCAGATAAAAACTGAGAAACCTTGTTATCACTGGACCTGAATCAGAAAACAAAAAGCCTAAGGGTGTAGCAGTGGCACACATACCTTGGTGGTAACCAACAGCTCTCTAATTGGACTTAGGATCCACTCATGCCTGGGACTAGAAACCGCCAACTACCCAGGGCTGGTGAAGTCATACATCTTGGCTGGAGAACATACAATGGTTACTTTATTAAACTAGCATAATCTATGACTACATTCTGAATATTTGTCCTTAACACACAGGTAAGTAGTCCTCATCCTTCACCTAGGAAACTTCTCTTTGAAATAGATGGAGACCATCACAGAAAAGTCAGAACAAATAAAAATTCAGAATTTCAGAGCCTAACTCAGTGGATACACCTCAGGCTTAGGGAACACTGAGGAAGAGGAGGCAGAAAGATTGTAAGAGGCAGAGGTTCAGTGGATTTGTTGTGAGGGTATGTCTTCTAGGAATGTCGACGCTACACCAATAAAGTCTCACCAACATGACTGCCTAAACATGAGCTGAATAAGGACAATAGACATGCTAATGTGGACAGGGAAAAAAACCATAAAGT